AGCGCCGCCGCGCTCCCAAGCGGCGGACTGTAGCAGTGCGCCACCGGGCCGGCCCTTTGACTTGGTTTCTAAAGCAACTCTGTACCCTGGCCTCAGAGAGGAGGCAGGGAGGCCCCTGAGCTGTAGCAGTAGAGGATGTCAGGTAACCTAAGCGGGGGGCAAGGGGTGGGGCGGGGTACAGTGCACGATGGGAAGTGAGCAGGAGGCAGGAGTGGGGTGGGAATAAGAGGGAGGAAAAGGTAGGCCCAAGAATGAAAACAATATCTCTCCCCGCAGAATGGAGCTAATTAACCAGTAGAAATGGAGGCCCTGCCAAGCCCAACTTCCTTGTTTCCAGAAACCTTGGCAGAAAAGCCAGGTTTCTTGCAGAGGCCTGTCCTCATAAGGGGAACCAGCAAAGCAGCTGCTGTGATTTTCTTTTTCCTCTCATTTCTGGCAATCCTGAATGGGACTGTTTACTTTTTCCTTCTCCTTTCCTTCCCCACCCTCCTTAGCAGGGAGTTGGTTCTGGTTAATGTTGAAGATCATAACATGATTACCTGAAAGTCTCATGGAATTAAATCACTTTTCTTCAAAGAAAAAGGGGTAGGGAACCATGTGGCTGGTAGGCCAGTGAGGGAGGAGCAAATATTGAAAGCAGGCTAGCAGCCATGCTTCACTTTGTACAGCAGAGGCTTGGTGGGACCGAGGCCACCATGCACAGGGGTTCGGCTTTGCAAATGATGGTTCAGAGGAGTCAGGTCTCCCACCTGGGCCCAGACACCTGTCTCCTGAGCACAGAGACTTGGAGGTGGGAATCAGAGCTGGGGGTGAAGGTGGTTGCTGGGTGATTCAGAGACCCGGATCTGAAAGTGAGTCATTTGTTAAAAAATTGAACCTTTCAAGCAAGTCCCCATGAGGGTTTTCCATTACTTCCTGCCCTGGGAGCTCATCAGGTCAGGGCACAAATTTTAGGGCAGCCTTCCCACCAGAATAGCCTGGGATGGCAATCTCAGACTTCACAGGCAAGGTGCTAACTTCAGTGGCAGGCTTGGGAGGTGTGCCTGTGTCTTTGCTTGCATCAGATTTTCCCGGACCTGTTCAGTTTCAGGGGTTGAGAGGACCCTTGAGATCATGCAGCACCTGACCTCCCACCCAGTGCAGGAATCCCCTGTCCACTTTACCTCAACAAAGAACACTCAGCCTCCACTTTTCCTGCTGTGGGGGTGAGTGTCCACTCTTTCACAAGGTCAGTTCTTGGAGAGAGATTCCGAGAATTGCACCTGTTGATCCAGGTTGTGCCTTCTGGGTTCAGCTTGGCAGGGCCTGGCTTGGAAAGTGCTTGTTATAAATGAGCCTTTCTGTATGGCATGGGCATCCTGTTGAGGTTTTCAGTTTTCCCTGGTGCAGTGGGTTCAGCACCCCCTCTTTGGGTTTTTTCTCAGGCTGTTTCCCTCCATTTTTAATGTTCTACAAGGGAAACAAGAAAGAGGGAAGCCATTTGGAAACATACCCGAAAGATGCATGATTCCTGTTGCCGGTGTCTCAGCACCTTGAGTTCTATGTTTGGTGACAGTGACCAGCCCAGGAGGCCCAAGAACCAGTGGGTATGTGGAGTGAAGCCTTTAGGGGACTGGTCTGCTGGCACTGAGAGCCAGAGGGCACCACTTAGGTGATGAAGGGAGCATGGGAGAGAAGACAGCGGTGCCAGCCTCTCACAGCATGGAACTCGAACCAGCACAATAAGGAAACTTGACGTTGGTGAGGTGGCTTCCTGCAAGACAGCATGTAAGTTAAGCAAGTATACTTTTCTGAGGGCTTAGGGATGGGAGGAAGCCAGCTCGCTTGGAGCTTGGTGCTGTGACTCACTCTCATCAAGGGTCACTGAGCATGTCTCTGTGCATGGCCTTGGGTTGAACTCCTCACCTGGCCAGCCTTCTCGAAAATGTGTGTCATTCCTTGTGAGGCAGAGCCATGGAGTGGGTGAGCGAGTGTGCACATCAGTGGAAATTTATCTCCACTGCTGGAAAAACTCCAAGTTCATGACTCGGTGGCTTCAGAGGTGTGACTGTTAAGGATGGAGCTGATTTTCTTGTTTTTCACTAAACAGACTCAAGTTGACAGATCCAGATGCGTGTCCTGTCCACTTTAGTATCCACCTTGGGAGGCAAATTCATCTGGAGATCTATTTCACCAGCCCCAAGGGGAAAGCCAGTCTTGTTGCTTTACAGCCACAGTTAGTTTTTATCCAAAACTAACATTACCCAAGCTTGATCCCTGAGACTGTTCACCAGATTTGACACCCAAGGGTTGGGGCTGGATGTAAAAGTCCTATTCAGGTCCAGGGAGTGAGAAGCTGCCACCATCTGGGATATTCATTAGTCCCTCAGGGCAGCTCCCAAAGACAAGGCTTGGAAATGTTTTGGGCAGAGGTAACACTGTTGGAATAAATGAGCAGTCCACATCCTGCCTTCCTCAGCACCCCAGGGTCTTACTCAAAGGAATGATCTGGCTTGTTAAAAAGGCAACCTCACCACATTGTGGCCAGGTGTGGTTGGTTTGTGTACCAAAGAGTCTCTTTGAGAGGCTCTGTATAGCCCAGTGATTAACAGCATGGACTCAGGAGCCAGAGTACCTAAGTTCAAATCCCAGCTCCACCTCTTACAGATGGTATAGTCTTGGTCAAGTTGCCCACTCTCTCTGTGCCTTCGTTTTTCCATCTATAAGATGTGGCTGTGGGCCACCGAGGGTTTGGATCCCACATATAGACCGGTTCCCGCTCACTGGCTGAGCGAGGTGCGGGCTCGATGCCGAGGGTTGCGATCCCGTTGCCGGACATGAAAAAAAAAAAAGACAAAAAAAAAGGAAAAAAAAAAAAAAAAGATGTGGCTGTATGAGAGTCTTACCTGGTTGGTGTTAGGATTAGTTGACCTCGATGGGCCACAGGAATGAAAGGGGAAGGCCCGTCAGTATCCTGTGGTTCTTAATCATTGCCTTTCTTAGCTGCCTTGGGAGGAGGAGGCCTGGAGACCCTCAGAGACTTCAGCTCTGTGGCCTCAGACTTGGGCTGTAGGTGGCCCTGCTTCAGTCTGTGGCCTGGAGGTATGGCCTTGTCAGTTCTAGCACTGCGGGGAAGAGCCAGGACGGAAGAGAGGGGAAAACATATTTTACTAGGGGGGGAGTCACCTTTGAACTGGTCAGTAGTTGGCAAACTCTCTTTTAGTTGAAAAGATCCATGGAACTTAAGAAGAGAGAGCAGAAGAAAGCAGAATTGCTGGGGTAGAAATTAGGGAGGCCTCAGGGGCTGGCCAGGATAGACCTTGAGATGAGGCCATCAAATCCTGGGGCCCCATCAGGTATTTTTTAGAAACTATTTTTCAGAGAGATGAAGTGATTCCCCAAGGTCCCTCCCTCAGCTGGCTGCACTCGTGGGAACCAAGATGAGAGCCTAACTCTCATGGAAGACACACAACCTTACTGTGCCCTTAATCCTCATGATGCTGCCACCTTCATTAATGTAAGGGATGTCCCATATCCTTGTGCAGTGGAATCAACCCAAGTGAATAGAGCCCGCAGGATCCTTCATCCACCCCATCCCTCATGTGCACTGATCACAGCTAGGAATTCTTTAAAGGCAGAGGGATAGGAACGCCCAGACATGCCGCTTTAGGTTCCCCACTTTAGACCAGCTTACAGTTTCTCAGCCTTCAGCATGTCTAACAATTAGAATCCAACATGAATACATAGAACCATACACTTGGCACTGTTATTGGTCATCTAAGTGATTTTGTAGGATATTTTGACAATTAATTATTTTCACCTCCTGTGTAACCTGTCAGTCACTTGCCACTCAGGGTGAGGTGTCCCTAAGCAAAAACTCAGGTGTCCTGTCTCCTGGCTCCACACTGTCAGAGGTGCTTTCTGGCTACGGGGGCTCCCCTGCACTTATTCTAGGAAATACAGTATGGACCCATTATCACTTTCCCATCTGGTGATTTGGAATACTTTGACTCCCAGTTTGATGTCATAAATGTGAGTCTGAGAGTTCTGCTCATGCTGCGTAGCAGAGGGGAGGGATTGTGTTTCTGAAGCTGAAATCTTGCCACACTGCTGCTTTTCCCTCTCTTTCCTGGAAACACGCCGGCCCCCTACTGCAGTAGGTGATGGTCAGACAGTTGGGTGCACATCAGATTGGCCAAGCTCTCCTGTTCCTTCCTGTTTTGGGCATCTTGGAATTAACAAAGGAAGATACAGAGGAAAGAACTGATAAGAGCTGAGGATACAATGTCTTCGAAATGTGGGCAGCCAGAAGTCTGCAGTTGGAAATGGAAAGATTCAAAAACAAAAAAACAAGAAAAAAAGAAAGAAAAGAAATTGAAGTAATGATGTGGATTTTGGTCAGCAAGAGAGACAAGGTTTGGGGGTACATGCTGTTTGAGGAGCAGACCCAGGAGATAAATTGGAGGTGAGAGAGAAGGCATCCAGAGGCAACAGGACACTGGAGGTGGAGCAATGGTCTGAGGGTCTCAAAATTTGGTTTCCGATTCAGGCCGTACTGTCAGCTCATTTTAGCACTTGGAGCAAGTCATGTCACCTTTCTGAGCTTTGGTGTCCTCATCTCTAAAATGAAGATAATAATCCCCAGCTACTTCACAAGGTAGTTGTGGAGACCAAATGAGCTAAGACAAAGAGGACATCCTTTATTTTCAATTGTAGTAGTGATAATAATAATTATAATAAATATAATGTATCTGTTAGAAACAAAGTGGGGAAAGGTTGAGAAGATAAACTTAACTAGTTTAACATCCAGAAACATGGGAAGGTGGTCGAGAGCTCACTGAAGACAATTTGAGGCAGAAGAAATGATGTATAAACCATCCATTTCTCTAGTCTTAGACAAGGTATCCAAAACCTAGCCATGCAGAAGAACTAAGAATCCCTCTAAGTGGCTGTGGCAGGGCTGATGCTCAATGAAGGCCTGTTGATCATTAGTATTTTTGGAGGCTTGTGGGTGCTGGGCTCCATGTTGGGAGTGTGGAGGTCATTTCAAGGAAGATGTTTGCCATAACAGGTTTAATCATTATGCAATTCTTGTGTTCCCATTCCCAGACAGCAGTTAAGCACTCCTTGTCAACACTCAGTATTCTGTTTATTTGTCCATCCGTCCACCCATCCATTCAACCAACCAACCAACAAAGATTTAGCCCCTGCTCTGTGTCAGGCACTGTGCTTGGTGATGGGGATATAATGGTCAGCGGAAGAGTGGCAGTCACTGTCCTTCATGGGACTTACAATGTAGTATGGAATTAGACAGGTGAGTGTCATGAGCTGTGATGAAACAACAGGAAGGCACAGGTTGCTATCCAAATACCAGGCAGTAGTTCTTCAGGGTGGAGCAGTGGGGTGTTTAGGAAAACTTCTGGGAGGAAGGACAGGGAAGAATCAGCCAGGTGAAAAGGGACTGCAGGAGTTGCAGAGGTCCACAGGTTAGAAAGAACACAGCAACCTCAACTTTCCTTCCTTCACAGGCCATCCAGCTCAGCTTGGAGAAGGTGAGGGTAAAGCAGAAGCATCCTGCCTTGTGGCATCTCTGGCTCCCAACTGCATTTTAAAGAGAAGAACAGGAGAATCTCCTTAAATTCTGGCAGAAATGTGTTTAGGTTCAGCTTTACCACATTGCTCTCTATTCTTAATTCTTCTTTATGACTGAGGTTCTATGTTCCTGAACACAACTTGCACAGTGTCTGGCTTTCTGGAAGGAGTTGACCAAGGTACCTGGGCCTACCCTTTGGGCAACCTGCTGTAGTGAATAGGATAGAAAAGTGAGACAATGCATTTCTGGGATACAGAAACCTTCCCTGGAGTGTCCCTGAGGTAAGCTTGATCACCTGAGTCACCCTTCTAAACTTCTCAGAGAAGAGCCCCTGGGTGTCCTGGACGTCATTCATAAGTAAGCCTTCTGAGAGGAGACAGAGGATGGTATGGCCCAGAGACTTTGGGGTTGAGTAGCTCTGTATTCGAATCCCAGGTCTGCACTTACCAGCCATGTGTCTTGGTGAGTCTGCTTTTCTGATCCGTGGTTTCTATATCTGTAAAGTGGGGACAATAGTGTTCTTTGCCTCATAGGGTTTTGTAAGGGTTAAATAAGACTCTTTATGTATGGAAAGCAGATTAAACATTCAGGAATGCTCTCAGTAGTTATGACCATTAGAATAAAATTTAGCTCAGGAGAGGAAACTCTTGGGAAGGAAGAGAAATTATCCTGAAGCTAGTGAAGCATGGGCCTTCAGAGAAGTCCTATTTTTGGTCACATACAAGGAGCAGGAGCCGAGTCAGAACATGGACCCCGCATAGTATCCATTCAGCCACTCCCTCCCTGTGGAGCCCTTATACCCGAAACCTGGGAAAAAGCTGCCTCCTTGTTCTGCCCGGGGCCCAGGCCTGAGCACACATAGCTTAGTACCAGATATCTGGGATAAAATTGTCCCTGGCTAGGAAGAAACTTAGTGACCATGAGCCTGACTCATGAGTCACATCCTGTCCCTCTGGCTGCTACTTCAGCATCTGAAACCCTTCTTCCTGAGCTGCGGGCTTTTTCTAGGCCCCTTAAAAATGTGCCTTGACAATGGGGTACACTGGGGATTTTCTCTTTGCCTCCCCCACTGTATCAATGGCTTCAGTGGTAGCAGTGTTTCTTTTCTTAAAACCTGTTTTCTTCTTCTAGCACACATTCTAGCCGCTTCTGGTCCCTGAAGGAGTGGTCTCCCAACAGCTGTTTCCTGTCTCCTGACAGTCTCCAAACATTTCTCTGGCACATCACTGAAACTTTTTAACTGAGCTAACCGGTGACTTGATAGCTAAATCCAATGGCCCTACTTGGTCTCTCTGAAGCAACTGACCACATGGACCTCTCCTTTCTCTCTGAAATTCCCTTCACCCTTGGCTTCATGACCATGTCTCTATTCAGGGCTGTCTGTGTCCCTCCTTGGCTTGTCCTTCTTCTCCAGCTCCTAAAAGGGGGGTGAATTCTGAGGTGACCTGCCTTCCACTTAGCCCTCTATACTTCTGGTCTCAAAGACTCCATTCACCCCTAGAGTTGAGAGGTAGTTGGTTCCAGTTATCTATCTTTATTCCAGTCTTTCTTGAAACACCAAATACTGTGATCTGTAACTTAGAATGTTGAAATCTCACCTTATTAACCAAAATGTACTTCCTCTGTGGTCTTCCTTTTTTATGCCAATGAGCATCACCCAGAAGCACCATCTTGGTCTTCTTTGACTTCTCAACCAATCATCCAATCTTGTTGGTTGTCACTTTGTGATATCCCATTGTCTCTGTATCTTTCCTTCATATCACCAGCACCCAAACCCTGTTCACACAGGGACCTTACTACCCTGCCAAGTGTCTCCTCACCTCACATCTCCCACCCCCAAACCACCTGCCCCACAGATCCACACTTACTGTTGTGAAGTACCCCTTCCATCATGACCCATCGATGAGGAAGCAGACCTGCTGGCACAGAGAGTTCTAGTCTCAGGACTGCCTTTCTCAACATATTACTCTTTTGAGAAGTTGATGACAGGCCGGGAAAGTTATGAATGGCAGGAAGCCAGGTGTGTGGGGGGTGGAATAGCCATAGGGGAAGCTCTTTAATGGCCAACGGTTGGTGGCAATAGTTGGCTGGATAATCAAATAAGTCAGATAAATATTTAAATATTCGATTTTAACTTAGGATCTGGAAACGTGCATCCATTTGCCAAGCTTTTGATGCGAGGCCAAGACTTTCTTTGAGTTTGGGTCCATTTGGCCAGATTCTGTGTTATCTGTCTTATGTAAACCTTGCCCACAATACCTTGTCTCAAGTCTCCAGTTTATTTTATTAAAGTGAGGTAATTCCTCAGAGAAGCTTATGAAGTTATCTGAGTTCAGAATCTCATATATATATGTATATATGTATATATTTTATAATTTCCCCCTAGCCTTTTCCAGATACGTCCTCCAAATCTCCTTTGGCAGCACTTCTTTTGTAAATGTAGCAACTGGCTTTTGTTGAGTCTTTTCAGTTGAATTTTCAGAGAAAAAACCCAAACTTTTCACACTGTTTTGAATAAGCTGGGAACACACACAACCAGCTGCACTCAGGCACAATGCAGATTGCCCAGTATCCATGAGCAATGCATAGCTTGCTGTGGATACTGCTGAGCCAGCTTCACAAAGATGATGGGAAATGTAGATCACTCTGATGAGTGCACAGAGTAGAACCTGGCCGTGAGAAGGTTTTTTTTTTTTTTTTAATTTTTTGAGTTTGGATGACAGAATCAGTTTAAAAAATGATCTTGTGATTTTGATTGGCTAAAATGATGGAACTAACCTAATCGGATGAAAAATTGGGGATCAATCTGAAATCTTTCCCATAGGTCTAAAAAATGAATTGTACCATCACAGCGTAATGCATACTTGTACTATCAGAAGAGACTTATGGGTTTTAATTGAAGGGAGGATTTATATGAGTCAACCATGGGATGTGGCTGTCAAAGGAAGCTAATGTAATCTTTAATTATCATGGTTGTCTGGTGTATAAAGATAGGTTGTAGGGGACACTGATTTTCTCCCCATACCCATTTCTCCCCTCCTGCTCCATGTCCTGCCATTGACATGGGGGGATTGTCTGGGATTTGTGCGATCCAGTAAGGATGATTTCATCCTCCTTGCCATATGATTGATAAGCACACAGCCTTTCCCTGGCTACAGAAATTGGTTCAGAAATGAACGTGTGACCCAGTTTGGTCTAATGAGTCCTGGGGACATTGGCTGAATGCATTTGTAAAATAAGGTATTTAATTTTTCTAGGAGAGATTCTGGAAGCCAGCACCTGCTCTTACATTGGATGGTGTGGTGTGTGGGTATGAAGCCTGGAACTGCTGCATCTATTTTGCTACCATGAGGGACACTCACTGTAGGATGACACTGATACCTTGAAGGCCTGGAGGACAGGTGGAAGAAACCACGTTCTTGATGACATCCCTAAATGAAACCAACTTTACTTCTGGACCTTCCAGTTATCCAAACCCATGTAATCTGAGCCATTTGGGGTCAAGTTTTTTTGTTATTTGGCATATTGAGAGTCCCAGTTGCCAGAGAGATGAGAGCCTTTGCTTCTTCTGGGAGAGACAGATATGCTTGGAATATTGCCTTTGCTTCTGGGCCCTGGCCTTTGGGCACATAGAGGAACTGTAGAGTGGCTGATAAAGAGTTCCTGGGCTGGATAAGGGATACTGAATCCAGGTTTAAAAAGCACATACAATGGGGGTGATGATCCACTTTCATGTGTAGATTCATAATAGAACTCCTTTAAATGGAAAGCTCACCAAATACATTCTGAAAGGATAGTTTGTAGAAATGCAGAACTGTTAACTGTTCAGTAGCACATGTATTGCATAAGATAAAACATACTTGTAGCCTTCATAAACCTGATGGAAATAGTGAAAGAAAGTTTCCACAAAAGCATAGGATGGTTTGAACAAAAAGAGGCTGTTTTGTCTAGTCATTTTGTGGGAGGGAAACCCAACCCCCAAACTGTCATCATTCCAGTGTAGAAACAGCCACCAGAATGTTGTTTTTACAAGACACTGTCACAGGGAGGCCCTTGGTGGGTGGGTGTGGAATGACTTGTTGCAGAAGATTTCCATCTGGGAAATGAATGTTGGCTCTTCTTTCTTGCCAGAGTGTTGGTAGAAGGAAACCTCTAAACATTCTGCAGCTCATTCTACAGCCTTTTTATGGGACTGTTTAGCTCCAATTTTGTTCTTTGCAGCTCCTAACATTTCCTTCTGATACTTAGAGCAACAGGAGTGAAACCAGAAGCTTCATGCCCTTGTATCGGGATGCCATGGAAACAATCAAAAGAAGATGAGGTGTGTGACTTGAGCAAGGACCTCCTGGATGGCTGTGGGCTTCATCACTGTAACACAGAGACCTCAGAACACACTGGCTCACACAGGCTGGATGCTTATTCCTCTCACTTTGTGGCTGGGAAGTCAGGGTGAGTAGTCAGCTCTGTTCCATGATGTCATCCAGGACAGGACCCAGCCTTCTGTCTGTTGTTGTGCCACCTGTGGGGTATTGTCCTCACCTTCATGGTAGAAACTGGTCCTCCAGCACCCTGTCTTCATTGAGCCTGCTACCACACTAGGATGAGTGGGAGTTGGCCAGGTGGGCTGGGTCAGGTAAGGGGTCAGGAGCATTCCAGCAAGAGGGAACCACAGGCACAGGGGCTCAGAGATAACAGAGTTGAAGGCAGTTGAGGACCCAAAGAGATTCTGTGTGTCTGGAGTGCCACGTGTGAGGGGTGAGGGATGAGGGAGGAGGGTGAGGCAGGGTGCCATGCTGCAAGCCTTGGATGGCCTTACCTAGCATTTGGACTTCATCTTGATGACAAAAGGAAAAAGATATTGAAGGGTTTTACGTGGGCCAGGCCATGAATGGTTGGTGCTATAGAAGGATCACCTTGGTTGCTCAGTGGACTGTGGAGCTGAGGGAGGGGAAAAGGCAAGGAGACAGTAGGTGGGGGTGGGGTCTGAAGCATCCACTACCTCCCACAT